TGGTTGGAGCGAACCGGGAAACGTCGCAAACCCCGAAGGAGGATCCACGGTATCGGCGACAAACGGCCACCACGTCGTGTCTCGTTAACGTGTCGCAGTCGTTTTCGAGACACGACTGAATATTTGCGAAATTTTGATTTCAGTACGCGCACGATATTTGCTGGGGCGTAACTCGGAGCTTTGACTGCGTGAGTTACGCTTTGGGTGAGACATTGTCGGGCATGTTTGAAGTGGGCCTGCTATGTAGGTGACGTGATTTGAGTTATTCAACGGGGGTAAATTAAAGGCATTGTTGACCTCGAGGAGACGGGCGATCGGGAACGTTCCAGGAAGTATAATGGAAAGTACTACCTGGGTTAGGGGCAACTGTTGTGCACGTTTGGGAACAATTAACGAGTTGACCGCACGAAGTTCTACCATTGGGATAATATCGCGGTAACTGTAGTTATTTACGTTATTAATTTACTGCTGTTTATGCTTACGGGACTGTGAGTGTTAGTGGTTAGATATTGGAGGTTTCGACGGGTAATTTAATTGCAGGTGATCATTATAATATAGTCAAGGCGTACCTATCTAATTTAAAAGGGCGGATACAATGCAAGAAATAAATTATTTTCAAAGGCTTTAAGAGGTCATTCAAAAATCATAATTTAACTTCTTATGGGCATTGTAAATGTCCAGGAAGGAGCCGTGGTTGAATGAATTCCATTTTAAATGTTACATTTCTCACTGAATAGGGCAACGTTTCCTTCTACCTGCAGAAACCTGGAACATACTTAAATATTTCCATTGCGTACTTTACCCTTCAGACTTTACTTAATGCCTCGATTGGCAAGTCTCCTAATCGTCTTATCGTCAAATGTAAAGTCTACTTAAATCGACGTTTCACTGCTTTTAATAATGAAAACATACGAAGTCCATAATTGCCCCCCGGTTATCATCCGTGTTTGCTCGTCTTTAATGGTTCCTTTGTCCAGTCCCGTTGCGAGAGGCAATCTTTGTCTCGGAAGTTAGTTCATACGCGAGGCCTGTCGTTTCGTGAATCACGGGAAATCGTGTTTTCCGGTAAATTACACGATTTTTCCGGGACCACTGAAATTGTTGTTTCCCGTGTAGAAATAACGTTGCCCGTGAAGAAATGTCCACGGTTAGCAGAACACTCGGAGGAACACTCGTGACGAGCAACACGAGTACAAATGAAATTACAACGCTATCCGGCCGAGGACTCGTGGGGCCAAGGAAAAGAAGGAACGTGGGTGGGAGCGTTTGCTCGACCGTCGACGCGACAACAATTACGCGACAATTATCGGGCAACGCAATTACGACGCGCTGGTCAACACGAATTTCGACGGGACCGTGCGTTACGCGGCTGGGAAATGAGAAAACGGGACGAGTTGCCGGAGAACGGAGGTTTGCGAGTCTTGAAACAAGGTAACGGTGGGAAACACTGCTCTAGATAGTCCGTGGTCTAACGTACAGGTTCCATTCTTTGTTTTCCTAATCATTATAAACTTTTCGTCATCGAGTGATCCACGCTTGTGTATTTGCGTTCTTTCGTCCATCAATCGCAAAAAGGTCAATGTTTAGAGTGCATGAAAATAGCACACTGAGGGAATGCTGTCAACTTTCCAACAGGAGCGTCATCAAATAGTAAAGTGGTACAGACCGGTCAGTCTAGCAAAATACACATGTTGGTTAACATCTGTCGAATATTACACAAATCGTGGTATGAGCCTGACAGTTCCCAGTGTAATGTCAACATTAAATTGTTCCTGCTTTCATAGAGGCGATCAATGTTTTCAGTAGTTTCTTCGTCAATCGATTCATTACATTCCTCGAGCTAAATGCTCCTATGAAAGTGAAATATGTTATAGCAGTACGATGTTCAATTAATCGTCAGTTTTCGTTTAAATACCTATTATCTTTCTTTACAATTTCCTTGCACGAATTTTTCTAACGATTCTGCTGTCCAGGAATCCCCGTTTACGGCGATCCTCCGACATTAACAGCCCCAAGACTCAACGATGCGATCCTTGATTACATGAATAAAATCGTAAGGACCAGATAACGAAGAAAAGACAAGTCGACTTGTTACATCCAAGCGAGGACGAAATTTCGAATCCTAAATAAAAAAATCATTCCCTTTCAGAATCAACACTCTTCACACATTCTCATTACCGAGAACCCCATTCTTCCAGTATCGCGAGTACAGCCATCGATTTCAATCGCGAAAACTTTCCCAGAAATATCACCCAGGTAAAATACGAAACTTACAACTCAACCCCGCCCTTTGTCGATCGCTAAGTCCTGGGAGTATAAACTATCTTATTAAACTTCCCAAGGCTGGAAGCTTGAATAGACCGAACGAACCGGCGCGTCTGCTCCGCGTGCCCGCGTCGAGGAGAGGAACGGCAGCAGGAGGGGTGAACACGAAGAAGAGTCTCGCCGCTAGTCAGTCGGCGGTGAGACTCCGCGTGCGACGCGTCGTAACCGTGGCACCTATCCACCACCCCCGATCCATCCATCCGGTTGCGGGACGCGCGCGTGCGAATTTTTCAAGGTGGTCGGTTAACGCGCCAGGTGTGTGTGTGTGTTTGTGAACCTTCCAGCGACGAAACTGGAGGAACGAAAAGTGATGTGTGCCCGGTGAAAATTAGTAATAATTTTATTTATTAGTTCGTCGAAGAATAATTCGGGGGTGAACGGTCCCTCGACTCAAGGACATCGAATTACCAATTTTCCAAATTCCTGAGCTGATCGAGAGTGATACCAACGAGACGTTCTCGACGTTCTTCCAACAATCGCAGTAATTAAAAACGGTAGATCACGGCGCGTTACGCAGCGACCACGATAGGATGTTCGGCCTCCGCGTTACATTTTAGTCGATCCGTTCGAACGGAGCAGAGACCGATGCACGGCCGCGACAAAAATATCCACGAAAAATCTCGGCAGCCGGCCAAGCGGCCTCGGAAGATCGCCATAATTCGAGGAACTTGGTTTGATAAGATAATTCGAGGGTGGTGGGGATACTGGAGCAATTACGCGATCGAATATTATCTACAATTTTGACATTTTTCGTTCTTTTTTTTATTTTAATTATTCCGTACGCTTTCTGTCTTCCCTTGCGGGAACATTTTACCACGGTTATTGTATTAACAACGGACGGGCCTACAGAAGCTTTTAGCTCCATTGTCTGTCCGCGTTTTACGAAAAGTGGATTTTTCGCGGACCGGTAAATTCTGCGGCGCTTTTGCGGTAGCGAAGACGCGTGGAAAATGTGCGTACGGTCACTGACTTGACAATGCACCGTTTTTTAAACATAAACAATTCTGAAATTCATGGACTAGTGTACGGCTTCTGTCAAACATAAACTCGAGTGGTTAAGTGTTCTACTGTAACTGTACGAAAGAAAGAGTTCAATCTCAAATTGGATAAAATAGATTTGCATATCTCTTGTTTAGTCTAGAAAAACGCCGTTCATTACAGAAAAATTGAATTTCCACATTATCCTGTCAAAAATCCTCTTGCATTAACAGCACGACAATCACGGGACCGCAACGTTCAGCGCGAGACAAAATACAGGGTCGAAGAGTCGACTTTTGAAATCGCGTAAAAAGGTCACGTAAAAAAAGCAACCGTAAACGCTGGCCAGCTGTTTTTGTCGAGTGGCTCTCTTCGCGCGGTCATGCATATTCAGGTCCGAAAAGTAAAAAGGACAAACGAACGAAGAGGTTATACGTGGGGATTCCGCGCGACCGTGATTTCCACGATGATCCAAGACCCTTCTTTGCCACCGTGTAGACACCGGAAGTTAAACGAGCGTTTTTATTTTCCCCACGGCGGCGAGGCTGTGTGAGAAGATTTAACGGCCACCGTAAACAATTTGCCCGGGGAAACGGAATAAAGAATCCGTACGAGCTTGCTAATTACCGTGGGCAAACCGAGTTGTCCGCATATCCGCAACCAGAACAGCCCCGAGAGCTCCGTTTAAAGCGGTTCGGCTGCCGGTGAACGTTCCCCGATTATTTCCCGGAATTGTAAATCCCGAGGACAAAACGCGGGAGCGTGAAGCGCGCGGCGAAGTGTCCACTCGATAGAAATATCGAGTGCCTTCGTTCTCGGCCGAGTGTCTCGACGAAACTGTAATTACAAAAGCCCTCGAGATTTAAGTTTCGCCGCGGGTAAAAAAAAAAAAAAATACGAGCCTTTCGCGAATCGATTAAGGGAGGCTAATTGCATCGAAGAAATAGAGACTTGGGCCATTCGGAGTACCAGGCGAAAGGGCGTCGCTCGAGGAGATATAACCCTCTGAAAATACCAGGCTTATCGGTTTTCAATTTGCCTGGCGCTTCGACACTTCGCGAAATATTCCCTTTCGACCATGTACACGCACTTGAAATCCATGCATCTCTCAGCCCTCTATCCACGCTTTAACCATCGACGCTTTGTTTATCCGTTTCGATCGTGCGCCTGTTCCATCCACCTCCCCCACCAGCAGATCGTGCTTTCTTTTTATCTGTCTCTGTTCCCACGATACCATGTGCGAAAAAACAAAAATATTTGTTACGTTTCGAAAACGAGGTCAACGTCCGCGGTCCCAGCAACAATACCGTGGACGATCGAATCGTCATCAGGGGATTCGCGGAGGCCTGTAACATCCCATCCCTATCCCCTTCGTGACATAGCAAATCCTCGCGATCAGGCGTGCACACGCTTGTCGCCGGTAATTTGCACGCCGAATCTACCAATCATATTACAGCATAGCCTGATGGAATCACGGAGCCGGTAGCAGACGCAATTGGAACCGAGTGCGTAGAGTGTACGAGATAGAAGAAGGATCATCCACCGATTTGTGTCCACGTGGAGTGCGCCCGCGTGTGTCCAGTGCACGGGACCGGTTTCCGTTTATTTTTCTTTTGATGCGTTCGGTGGCAGCAAGACGGAATAATCACGGAGGAACGACCGGAGGTGAATCTGGGGGAGAGAGGAACGTTAAATGAATGTTGTTGCAAGGGCCGGCTGTGATCGTGAGAGTAGAATCGGTGCACGTCGCGATCGGCCGATTTCAATTCATAAATGTGCGAGCGGAGGAGCCCACAATGGTGGCTCGGCTCCCGCAACAAGTTCTGCTGCTGCTCGTACTCGGTGAGTAGAACACACACATACACGACCAGTTGTCTATATTCTATATTTAGGCGGCGACCGAGCGTGGCTTCCGCTATGTATTCGTAGAAAATATAGACCGAACCGTCGTCGGTTCTTGTGTTTGGGCACGCTCGATGCCTGGTCCAAGAGGATCGTGCTACCTGTTACGCACCGGTGAAGACGGAAATGAAAAATGTATAGGGTCTTGTAGCTCTTACAACGAAGAAAGAACGTAAAGAGATAAATGCAGGGTGTCCCAGTATCGATGGTATAAAGGGGGAGGGGGTGATTCTACATGAGAAAATAAGTCGAAAATATCGAATAAATTTTCTTCATTTGAGCCTCTGTTTTCGAGAAAATCGACTTTGAGAATTAATCTGAAAGACGTGCATTGGTACGGTATTAAGTAGAAACGGAATGCAATGGACAGACACGCTAGCCAAGTCCTATACAATTTCACGCGTTTCAGATTAATTCTGAAAGTCGATTTTCTCGAAAACAAAGCCTCAAATGAACCAAATTTATTCCATATGTTCGACTTATTTTCTCATGTAGAATCACCCCCTCACTGGTTGTACTATTAATACCGAGACACGCTGTATAAGAGATGCTTGGAGTGAAGTCGCGTCGATGCAATCGGACACCGTTTCGAGCATCCCTTATGATGTGAAACACCGTTGTTTTAGTATTATTTATTTTCGAATAACCTTGTATCAGAGGTCCTTAAAATCATGGAACATCAGTTCGTTTAATATTTAGGAATAAGAAAAGTATAGCGTGATATTTAAAATAGCAGAACTGACGTTGACATCTCCGAAACTTCTGTACTTGGAAAAAAAATTATACTGCTAATTTTACGACAATACTATGCAGCTTCTGTCAGTAAAGTTTGTTCATATCTGTTAAATAGATATAATGCAGATATTTCAGGTGAACAGATTTATCGGACAACCTTGTCGTACTGGGAATGCGAATACAGAAAGGTTTCAGGGATTAATATGACAGAGAAAGAGAGAATTTAATAGCATTTACGTTTCTATGGTAACGTTTGATGAAGTGAACAATTTCAAATATTCATTATACTGTATCATTACCATCGCAAAAAGTGGCTTTGGGAAACATCTGTTTGATGAATTTATCAGGAGAATTCCTTATAGTGACAAGGTATTTGCAGTATAATATGAAATATCTCCTCCAAATTGTTTTTCAAATACAAGGTACTGATTTTTACATCTCCGTCATCGCAATACAGGATTCACTGGCGGAAGTCCCTTACTTTCCTGTAATTTTCTACCGAATTTTACTAAATAGAATATACAAACCATCGACTCGGGCTTCAGTCGGTGGTCCGTGCTGACGGTAAATAGAAGGATTTTCAGGATTTTAATTTAACGATCGCCGTCGACGACGATAAACGAAGTTTCCGTCAGGAAGTTTGAGTCAAATCGAGCTAATTGTCCAGCCTGTCGATGGGACTTCCGTCGACGAAGGTCCCCGTTATTGTCGCGGATTTCTGTCAATACGAATCTCTCGAATCAATCGCGGGGGGTGGCCAACAAAAATCTCTGCCAATCAATTCCTCCGTCGATAGGGTGGAAGCGTGTCAAGCCGCGCGCATAATCGAGACGTTTCGCGCGATCGATTACATTGTCCCGTGTCAGGAGGTTCAATTGCGCTCTGAAGTGTGGACACGGGCGGGAAGAGAGTCTGAGACCTCGAACAATTTGCATTGTTCTCGGCGTGGCAAAGTGTAAACTAGCGGGAGCTTTTAATGACGCGGATTCCTGTCCCCACGGGGACAATGGGGAAATTCGTCTTGCTTTTAAAGCAAACGACGGGGAATCGCTCAAGTTTCACGGTTTAACTTTGACAAACGGTTCGGGAGTGCCCTTAACACCTTCTCTCCTCCGCCGGTTGATCGAGATACTCGGTTTACGATGAAATTTTCTTCGCTGCGCAGAGGACCCCTTTTAACCTTTAAAAGGTAAGAAAAATTCTTTTTTCCTTCCCTCCTCCATCGTCGTCGGGGCGAATCGACGGTGCTCGCGAACACCGCCGGTTCATTTAAGTTAATCCGCTCCTTAGGTGGGACACTAGGCTGAGAAGCGAAGTTTAATTAAGTAGGATTATTCAAATAGAAACGAATAAGGTTTCATTAAAGGAGATCGCGAGAAAGATACGTCGAGCACCGACGCCCCGGTCAGGAGTTGATTTCGAGAGTGAACGGGGGAAGAGGTGTAGTTCGTTATGAAGGGGCGAAAGCTTGTATAATATGATTACTGTAGCCAGCGAGAGAAGATGATGCACATAAATATACCGAACGAAACTATGTAATAACACGTATATAAGCAAACTTTTGCACTTTACCTTCAGACAACGTCCGAAGTGAATAATAACTGTTGATCCTTTGGTAAACGTTTAGCACGATTTTTTTTTTATTCAATATATTGATTTAGATTAGATTTTATTTTGGAATTTATACAATTATGGTCAACAAATTTTCATCAGATGCAACCGATTTTCTATTTTCTATTTAATCCAGTGAGCTATTCAGGAGCATAAAGAAATTCCTACCTTTGTTCCTGTCATTAACAATTACTTCATAAAATGCATTCAACATGAAAATCCGTAGACGTGTTCGAAGGCTTCTCGACACTGAGTGTTCAGACGTCATCTCCACTACTGGGTGCATAACTGGTTCCACGAGGGACCCATAGTGGTGGGGGTGACGTCTGAACACTTTGGGCAGACGAGCCTCGAACACTCATCGATAATTTACTGTACTTCATTTCAAGTTCTTCCAGATAATAAATTAACAAGAAACATGTACTGTATAACACAACTATAGAACCGCAACATAAATATCGATACCAGAGATAAATCCATTAAAGATACCATGAGAGGTGGAAACTCGGATCCATTTTAAAACTTTCACGATGCACCACGAATCGCTCCAATACATTATGCGGCAATAAATAATGCTTCGTACGTTCCACGGCCTCCCCTCCCCAGTGGTGAGAACAAAGTAGAAACTCTAACGAGGAACTTCTCATTCAACTCTCATCGAGTCTTTACTGTAGAATCTCAAAATCCAAGAAAAGGAATCCCATCAATCTAGAAGCACACTATACGTGCCAAAAAATACGACACCGTTCGGCTTCGCCTTGCCTACCGGGGGAATCTTCATTTCCGTTTAGATGAACTCCATCCGTCTAAGCTGCATCACAACGTCGAGACGTCGACCCGCTCGGGATGGGGGGTTTATTTCTATTCCGTGGAGTATATATTCAAATAGCGTCGCGGCGGCGTCTTTTGTCGCCGATTCGAGCGGGCTTTTTATCGCTGCGGAACGACACGCCCAGGGTTCGACGAACGTCGACCTCCATTCGTCTCCGACGCGTAATTCGTCTCGCCGCGAAACTCCGCGTTGCAGTAGTCGCGAAACAACTGCTCGCTCTTCCTAGCGAACGAACAAGTTTCCACGTCGTGGGCGGCAGTTTTACCCCCCTCTGGGGGTCCGGGGGAACAATACCGCAGCGGGTAAAGGGAAAACAAGCTTTTCAGCCAGCGACGAACTTGTCCACCCTCGCAATAAACCGAGCCCACTTATTTGCATGCCGCCTAATTTGCTTCCGGCCGGTTCTGTGCTCGCATGAACTCCAACTGTGGTTCACATCGCGGGAGAGAAAGAGAGGATATGTATATTCCCCAGGGCTCACCAGTGAAATTAGTTTCGGAGCTGAGACACTGATTGATAAAGAAGAACCACACGCGATTCGAATTCGATTGGTCGACGAATCACGGATTTCTACTGGCCTGTCTCTTGATTCCGCGACATTCGCCCACATTTTTCACGAGCAATCCGATGTTACGTTTGATTGATTATCGCGTTCGTAGGCTCGACGGCGGGATCGTAAATTTCGACGTAGTTCGGCAATCGCGAAACGCCACCGTTTGTGATATCGAGATCCTTCGGCTATGACTTGACGAATTACGACGTTGGGGCAATGTACAGGCTTGGTCGGAAGTATTAGGCACACCATGGAATGGGAATTTTTGAAGAATATTTTTGTATTAGGAGGAATTAGATTATTGAAATGTGGAAAGTATCAATTTTTCTTTATTAGCTTTGTCAATATTTTGTTGGCACGCCCTTTTCCCCGATGACTAACAATCAGAGCAATTTCATTCGAAATTTTACCTTGGTCTTTTAGAAAAAGGATTGTGTTGATGGTCAATCCATTCATTCTTTCTTGTTAAATTTGCCGAGGAAAACTTTCTGACTTTCAAAATATTAGCAGCAAAACTAAAGGCAAGTTGACGTGTGTTAGCAACGAGTACTAACAGTGGACTGTAACCTTTAATAAGAAACGCAACAAACTGTAGACAGTGACAATATTAAAATTTTTTATTATGTTTTTTCTAAACATTCTCCACCATATAACAGTTTTTCCAGGTTTCTTTTGATATTTTGTGTATTTCTTCTCTAAATACAGACACGACTACTTGGGGCAACTGAAATTTTCTTTCACTCAGCTTTTCCTTAACATTTGGAAACAAAAAAAGGCATATGGAGTAATAGTGTCAAAAACACGGTTAAGCTTTCCATTCATAAATTTATCACATAAAATGGCATTAACCTCTTATAAATTCTATATAGCACCAGTTTAAAGTTGTCTTGGAAGAAATTTTTCACGCCAAATTTTTCGCACAACCTTTGTAAGCTTTCCTGTCGTGACAAACCTCTTTGAAAGACGTAGTAGATCATATCACAGAAATATTGGCACTGGAGCTCCATTGTGACGATTGACTTCTTATTTTTGGGATTTACGAGAATGGAGAGATGGAACAGGGAATCTTGGCATATCTTATGACCCAGACTCTTTGTATGCTAACAATAATTCCAAGTACAATTTACTCAAATTTTTCTGTTATCATAGACCAGGAACTATCAGGAGTAATCCACGTATACGTGGACCTTTATTAGTTTCTGACGAGGT